ACACCTGAGTGTTTTACACATTTCTCATTGTATTTTGGTTTGGTTGTCCAGTTTACAATGTTGTGAAGTGGTCTTGCTCTCAAATAGTCACCTAATGGTTGATAGCCTTGTTCCTGGCTGACTTGAAATTAGCTCAAGCTGTAGGTTTGAATTACATTGTAATCAGTGTTCCTCAAACCAAGCCAGGGTCATAATTAATCAAAACTTAATTAATCAAAACTTTAACCAACTCAAGGGTTAGTCCTGTAGTGTTTCTTCTTTAAAGTGCCACAGCATCATTGTGGCTGTGTTGATACAGGAGTTGTATTGACTCTCTCTCATCAGCGAGGTTTGTTGCAAATTAATTGGTCCCTCTTTATTTGCTCTTATTTCTGCTTGGATTTTCCTTTTATTCTTATGACGATTGTGTGACCTTCTCTTCAGTGTGAAGGTTATTTATATCTAAACCTGCGTCATTTTGTCAGATGTTCAAAGTCTTTTGTCACGGTCTCCGGTCTCCCTGTCGGCCAGAAGACTTTCTTACCAAGTGAAAAGAAAAATGAATGTGAGATATTGGTGATAAATATAATGTAATATAATATATATAACCCTTGCACTCTCCTTGCAGATGAACAGGAATTTATCACATTCATCATTTGCACTATATAAATATATATTTAATTGTAATCACACAAGAGCCACTTTTGGTTAGATTTCCCTGATTTCCCAAGATAAATTTAAAAGTGTTCTCTATTAAAAGTCCATTTAAGTTATATTTAATTAAAAAAAAATACAATTATGCTTTGAATGTGATTGTTTTGTTATATTTCTTTCATTCTTAATTTTGAAACTGAACTGGTCACATGGAAATAGTCTCCATGATCTGATCTTAATTCTAAAAAAAACATTTTATATACATGTAACATTTCTAGTATATATACCATAGTGAGAAGCATTGCAAACAAAGATATGAGTGTTGGAACCATATGTTTGTACTGCATGTCAGTATATACAGTAAATCTTCAACATTCGCAGTGCATTGTTCAACAGTGCTTAGTTATTGCACTGCAAGATTACCAATTTACTGGTTATTCTCTGCATTACCAAGAACAACATGAATATCAGTGTTTGCAGTCCTTAATGCAATTCACATTTCCTCAATAATGTACTCAATACATTAGTCTAAGTTAATAATTTTGACAGTTTCTTATCAAGGGGCCACTCTCAATGAGAGCCTGGTTTCAGCTGCAGTCTGTCATACACTAAGAGGTGACAAACTGTATAGTAATGTTCTGTAGATGCCAACAGAGCACCTGAAATTGCAGCTTTGCTGAAACAACAAAAATATCCCCATCCTATATTTGGAGATTTGAAAAATGTTTCCATTTTTGTCACCATCTGTTTAGATACTTTGGATAATTCTCTGTTTTTTTTTTGTCTTCACACCAGCCTTAGGCTGTACTTTAGTTGCTGCATTTAAATTTCATTTAGTTTAATAATGAAAAAAGCCAAAGCAACAGGAAGCTTCCATGAAAAGGTAATGACTGTGACGTCGAGTCAATGCAATCAAAAGGAGTCAAGTTGTAAAGGAAGCTGCTGCTCTCAGTCATTCGCAGAAGCTGGGCTTCAAAGGGTTCACAGGCGTTCACCGTACCTGGTCCTGTAAGACAGTTAGGAAACCCAGACCAAGTGTATAAACCCGCAGCTGCGTGCTTATTTAAAGCGTCAAAGAATGTGATTCAAACTGCGATACAATCTTTTTTAAACAGCCCTTTGATGTGCGGGCTGCTACCAAACATCTGCAACCTGCAATCTGCACTGAGCTAAAAACAGTGTCTGGCAGCCACATTCTGATGTTCTCTAGCAGATGACTGGATTTCTCATTCATTCCTCTGGTGCATCACAACTGTATCTTGACTCCTCTAATAAATCTATCGCGGGAATCCCAAAAAGTTGTAGAGAATTAGGCCTTAGCATCCTCACACAGGCGTGCCCTGCAACCTCTTGGTGGGCTTAGCACCTGCAGAGGTTCATCCCAGCCCTACTCACCCCGACACCTGTCCGAGCTAGCGCAGCTGTAGCCTGCATGACACCTGCGTGCTTCAGGACAGATGTAATTCCCATGTGTTGTCCTCATTCAAGGGGAACTGCAGTCCCAATTTCTCAGACTGGATATTAAATCTCGGTAGCACAATAAATCCTTTAACATTAGAGAAAAAAAAATACAAATTTAGAATTAATCACAAACTCGTGGACTTTGCGACAACATGGTGATTTACAGTTCTTTCACAAACTCGGATTTGAGTTCCCACGAATTGCAACATGGTTCGGCCCTTCCTGCTCACTAGTCCCTGCAATGACTAATGTACTGTGATGTACAAGCGAATAAGTACAGGCTGTGCACCAGACTTTTCGCTGCAGAGTGTTCTACATAAAGAGTTAACAAGTAGTATTTGTTGGCAAATGGAAAACAATATTGCTATTGGATTGAAAGACATGTACACGTAAGCCTGCTGTTTTACAATGTAATAAGGTCTCAACACGTCACTGGAAGTTGTGTTGCCATGTTCTGAATCGCAGTGTGTTCTGCGCATACCTGGAAATGTAGTCTATTTTGTGGTGTAAATTGGAGGTTTTACTGTTGTACATCTTGCTTTTATTGTGGTTTGAAATACACTCATCAATGCTGATTCTTTCTAACCCCAAAATATCTGCATAGCGTTATAGTTCCCCTTTGACTACAAACACACATTTGTTTTTCCTTACATTTGTACAGGAATTTGTACAATTTGTATTTTCCGCTCACTGAAAGAGTATCCCACCTGATACGGCAACAGCAAGGTTCCCCTCCCCCCGGGCAGAGCTGTGGAGTAGCACCCTGTTATTGAGTCTGACGCCATATTCTTGTTTGTGTATTCTTAATGAAAAATAATACTGCTTGACCAACGAGCGAACATCGTGGCATTAAAAAACACCATTTAGAAGATCAGATGTTAATTTCTGGACCCCCAGTGGGGGTGCAGGACTTCCGGCTTCTACACACATCTTTCTTTTGTTAAATTATGTACCTCTGGAAAATGTTGTTTTTTTTTTTTTGTAATGAAAATAGTGAATGTTTAAGTTATTGGAATTGTACGGGCTTTCCAACAGAAAGAGTAACGTACAGTCTGTGCCACAGATGCTGGAAGTTGGCAGATCTTTGGCTTGTTCTGTAGCACGAGGCATATGGTTGAAGTGATAATTGGTACCCTCCTGTACTTTTCTTTTTTTACTGCATGGAAAATGTTTTGTAGCACACTTTCTTTGGTGAAACTATTGTTCTGCAAAACTGTCCACAGCTGGTTCGAGTATACTGTTTGTCACCTGCATGGTTTCAGTCAGCCTGCTTATTTATCGACACACAGTGTCCTTATGCCAGAGGATAAGAGCTCGAAACTGCTAAACCTGGCAGTCAAGACCAGGATGTCTTCATCAGCTCCATGAGACCTACATCATTTCGCTTATGGGAACAAACTGTACTATAGAATTAAATGGGTTTAGGCTTTTGATGGAAAAACTAACACGTGCTCAGGCTGCTATTAGGAGTAACTGTCCAGAATAATTTGCACGTATTAGACGCCCTCTAGCTGAAGACATGTTTACAGAGCTGACTGGCTTTTGGTTCCTGTCTTTTTTGTTTGTTGTTATTGTTATCTATATTGTGATGTTGATTGTTTCATTGACAATCAAAGCTCTAATGCAAAACTCTAATGCATAGGCTTTCTTTATATTTTAAAAGTATCGTATGAAGTAACAGTATGGTATATTTTTCTTTTATCACTGGTAAGAATGCAGAATTTAAACTATAACAATAAGTATGATAATCAAAGTTATAAAAATATCCTCAATAGAGGGATTGACTTGCAATAGTTATAATTAAAGGATTTGCTAATAACCCTTAATTGAAATTTAATTAAAATATTCATACACATCATCATTTACTTATTTTAGAGTTTTTACCTCAGTCCTTATAAAGAATTTTATTTGAATCCATGAACTCAGCTCTTAGCTAATGAATATTAATGTAGAATTTTAAAATATGCTCTGGAGTGCAGGTTGCGCTGCTTTTTAAACGTTGGCAACATCAATTAATAACAGCAGATGTGAGCCAGAAAGTTTAAATGTGTATGAGGAATTATTTTTCTCTGTAATGCATTAAAAGAAGACAAGCATTCAGTGATAACGTGACCATTTTATTATTGGCTTAAAATAGTCCAATGCTCATTCCTGCTGAAGAGGGCCATAGGAAGCTACGGCCTGTGCTGCAAGTGGTTTTCCTCCTCGGCCTGGCCTCTCGCTGTGTAACTGGTTAGATTCACTTCGCCTGCTGGTCAGGCAGAAGCTGCATCTCCACCGTCTCGTCCATAAAGTCATTTTCCTCACATATTTTGTAGAAGAAGTTCCACAAACTGCATCTTTGATAGCAGAAATGGGACAAATATTGTATGTATCTGTTAATGTGTAAAAATGCATATAATTAAAATATTTGCCCAAATTATGTGGTAGGGTTGGGGGGTTAAATGTTTTGTTTTAAATATTCCAGGCTTTTCACTCTAGCACTTTTTAATATTCAAGTGTCACTAAAAAAAAGAAAAAGAAAAAGCTATTTGAACCTGCAATGAATACTTTTTTTTTTGCATTTTTTCTCCGGTTTTGATGCAGAAATAGCTGAGTCATTAATTGCTCATTCATGTTCTCTTAATTTGGCCATTTAAAAAAAAACTAACAGTCCTCATAAATGGTATTTGCATTTCTTATATTTTAGTCGACTGGCGAGTGTTTTTGTCTGTCGGACAGATTCCCGGCGCAAAGTGCTTGAGGGGGGTCTGGCCTCTCCAGCTCTGTCAGGAGAGCCGTGTGGGAAGGCAGCTGATGTGTTTTCCTACAGCATCACAAGCCCTGCCCGTGTCATGGAATAATTGAATGACATTTGGTGGTCTCAGTACTACAGAAATGACAGGACTTTTCTCCTTTGTTTCTAGGAAGCATTCAAGGAGCAACTATAGTGGACGCACTTGACACCCTGTACATGATGGAGATGTATGAGGAGTTTGAAGTGGCCACGGAATGGGTCGAGAAGAATTTAGACTTCAATGTGGTAAGAGCTGCGCACTGCTTGATGGGGGGATACTCTGCACCAGGGGCTTGTCTACAGGGCTCACTGTGCTGAGAAGATGAGCTCCGTCTTATCTTAGTAATGGAACAGGCATCGGGTGTAGAGCTACAGCTAGAAGTGTATGTGCTCTGTTGAACGTTAGCAGCCCATAACCCTTTTATGGCCCCCGAAGCTGGCATATGTGAACGCACTCAAACTCTTTTTTGTTTAACATGGTGAACCATACTTATCCTGAGTGATAGGATTGTACGTATTATTCTTCATATCCAGTTGGTTTCATCAACATGTTATTTGCTTATATATGATGTTTATTTAAGTCACAATCATTATAAAGGCATTTTTAAAATTGCTTGCACATCACCTGAATTTCCACATGAAATGTCTTAAGAAACAGTCTACTGGTGCAGATGACCTACTGGATTGCCACAGGAATGTGTCTTGTCCCCCTCATTTTACATTATGTACACTAGCAATTGTAAGCATGCAAATAGGCATTTCATAGCACTTGTGCATATGACAAATAAACTGAACTGAAGAGCACATCTCATCAATTTTGCACCCCTGGTCAACTTATTTAAGGCCTCAGAAAACAATCTTGGCCCTATTTTACTAAATGTGGTGAGTTCACTTTGATGTTAAATGCTTTAAAAAAAAGAAACTGATAACTGATTTTAGGAAAAATGTAATGCCCTTTTGTTTGACTTTGTATAGTAGCATACATGCAAATAAGAATTTCATCGCACTTGTGCATATGACAATAAACTGAGCTGTTTTACACTTTTCTACAAGTCATTTATTTTAAGTTTTTTAACATTGTCTCATTTGTTGGTTTGGCATCATTATTACCGTTAATTATAATAGGAAGGGAAAATTAGTCAAGTTAAGTAGCGAAATAATTGGGGCATTCAAATTAGCCTAAATATCCTCTAGAAAGTGAGGGTTGTAAAAAAAGGCTAAGAGCATAATGGAGTGTGTGTCTCACCACCACCGTGAATCTAAATGACTGCCATCTGGGAGGTGCCTCTGTGTCCCCAGGTGTCACAGTAACAGATCAGGAGTCTCTCATCCCTGCTGCTCTTTCACTTTCACTCTCCTGTCCTCTAACACTATTCTACTGTCTTTGTTGTTGGATGCGTTTGTCTGTCCTTGTTGTTTTGGACTGTCATAAAAACAAATTTCTCCCAGTGGATAATAAAGCTGGAGTTGAATTGAAACAGTGATTCACAGGGCAACCTGCCACTAATCTCGGAGCTGCCTGTTGATTTTTCAGATCAGCAAGTCTAAAGGTGTAGTTCAGGGGTCAGCATCCTTTCAGAAGGGCTGTGCGAAGATGCTTTTACAGATTACGTGTTCTTGATACTTGTATAATGTCAATAATAGTCCTACTTACATTTTGATTAATAAATGGGTTTTAGGCAGCACGGCCCTTCTCGGGTTCCATCCGAGTCAAGGTGTCTTGCAAGACTTGCTAATAGAAGGGCACAATGCCATTTATACCCATGCAGTGATCAAGTGCAGCACTAAATGCTTTTACATCTTTTAATGCCACTGTCTGTTGTTTAACATTTTCAGCCTTTTCACTCTCTCCACTGATCTTGCAGACAGAGGTAAGTTGTCAGTCCTGGAGATGTTGGCGTCTTGTTGGGCAGACCATTAAAACATTTGAACAAGAAAGTCCTCATTTGTATATTCCCCATCTGTAAATGGCTTTCTGTGTTGTGCAATACATTTCGTAACTTGCTTCTGTGGCTGGATTTTTATTGACACAGAAATTAGTCAAATTTGAGAGACTCGGCCTTGTCTGCTTCATCCTTGAAACGTTTGTTGTGTTTGTGTCCGGAAATGTCATTGGACACTTGATGTGCCACAACATGGCGCCCTCTCAAAATAGAGCACAAACAGCACGGTCTTTATGTTGGGCAAGTTCTTTTTCATGTGTCCAGAAGGGCTGAAACCTAACTTTGCTCTCTTAGCAACTGACATTTTGTCCAAAATGTTTGACTTTACTCTTTAAGTGGGGGGAAGAATATTAGTTATAAGCGCAGTTTAAATGCTTTTGTTTTAAAACGGCACAGATCGTGAGCTTTCTCGTAAAAACAGGCGAGCTTCACTAAAAATAATGCAGTAAATTAACCAAGTGAATTGTTTTTCTACCCCAAAGAGCTTTCATTGGATAGCATGTTGTAGAGAAGTACAAAACAGTCAAGCGTGGTTATTATTGTTTTTTAATTTGGCTTATGAGACCTTTATTGCATGTGCTGCTTTCATTGTAAGTGCTGTAAGACGTCCCTGTGCATGTGGATAGTGGCGTGTGTGCTGTAGGTTGCCAAACCCTGGTGTAGCTCATCTTGGAGATGTTGGCGATAGGTTCGTTTTTGGGGAAGTAATGAGTTTGAATAATGATTTGTATAAGGGATGCTATGTTTTGGAATATAAATACAGTGCCTTGTTGTCTGCTTTTGTTTTAAATCTTTAAAAATTCTTGACACCCGTTTGGATGCATTTATTTGAGTAAAAGCATCTTCCCAAGTTTGATTAATAATCAAGTATCTTTCTTTTTTTGTGTTTTACAATGAATGTTTAATCACAGGAAATAGAAAGATGATAATGAATCTGTTATTTAGTGTTTTAAACCCCTTAATGGCATGTGATGTGGTGGTGAATTTTGTCCAGTGGAAGCTGTAACCTACTCATCTTTAATGCAGATTGTTTTTGAAGAGAGAAAAATATTTAAGTGTATTTGTGGACTGTAGAGATTGTGGCATCTTGAACAACAGTGTGCACAAGTAATAGCATGTATCTATAGCACTCACAAGCTGTGGACAGCAGTCAGCACGCTTAACAAAGACCAATTGGTACTTTTTGAGCAAATTCTAATGGTTACATGCAATACCTTTGCATTTAATTACAGTAAGTAAGTCCAGTAATTGGCTTTGACCTTGTTTATAACCCTATACATTAATCTTCATTTGACTAATCCTACTGTTTTCTGTATTCTGAGGTTTAGTAAATCTGACCTGTAGTTAATGCTCTTTGTATTGCAACCTGTTTTTTAAGGAGAGAGATTTTGATAATTTCATGGTGAGACATTCAGTTCGACCTCAACATGTAGCACAGATGCAGCTTCTTCAACATGTCGTATTATAAAGGTTAAACATGAATCCACAGAAGAGCATTTACTGTTGTCACTATGGGATGAGTAGTCACAGCATTCATCTGCAAATAAAGGGATCCTAGAACAGAGAAAGACAGCACAAGTTTGTCATTTGTCAACTGAGGAGTAGTCTTCATAAGTATATTGTTTTTCCATTATACATGATTTGTCAAATATGATATTATTGACAACTTTTACAAGGCCCTGTAACTATTTTAAATCATTTAAATGCATTGTCTTAATTTTTTGCTAATGTACCTCTTCATGCTCATTGCCAATTGCTTATGAATCTTCAGCGTACATTACCAAAATGAAACACACATGTGCATAGAGACTAACGAGAACTGGGATGAAGTGTAGTTGCTGGTATGGAACTGCTAATTAAATCCAATTTAATTGTCATTAGCAATTAGCAAAATAATAGATTTCTAGATCTTTTTAGATTGGATGCAATGATAAATACATATGAATAGATTTTTATATCTTTATTAATCATTTTAGTTTGTGGCCTGTTCAGTTTTGATTCCATCAAGAATGTTCGTTTATAAATGTTCCTCAGTTACAGAAAGGCCCTGCAAGAACAATAACCACCACCTATAAACTTCCAAACTGACATTTTCTGCGCAGAAAACATTTTTGTTAAGTAACACTATATTTTTGTCCATCCTATACTTTGCTTCTAAAAAGTATAATTGGTGATAAAGTTGAATGGAACATATTAACAGACTCTTAATTGAAAGTGTTTTCCTAACGACCCTCCAACACTTCTAACAATAAAATTAATCTGGGGAGCTGACCAGAGCCCTGGTGAATTCCACATTGTTATTCAGCTTGCTTCCTGAATAGTAAAGATAATTAAAAGCAGAACAAAAGTATTTGTTTTTACTGCTTTTTGTTTCTTAGCATGACAGACACTCCAAGGTTATTTTTTTAAAGTGGAGCAGCCTTCCAGAAAAACGAAATGCTCTATTTTTGCAGATGGGCACAAATTCTCCTCTTGATGAAGGGTGTGTCTATCAATGGTGTGATTCCTTCTGACATAAAAGCAGCTGTGATTATTCCTTAGTCCCAGGACTGGTGATACCATTGTGACCATTAACAAGTTTGGTCCTAAAGGCAGAACTGTACTGGAGCTTCTGATTTTGCCCATTTAAGATGGACCTTAATGCAGGACTGAGCCCTGTGACAGACCCTGTTCTCAGCTTGGGCGTTTCAAGGGATCTGTACAGAAACCTCCAGCCTCTGTGAGCCGTCTTTCAGAAGATGTCTGGAGGCCACAAGTCCCCAGGCTTTCCTGCGGGGACCACTTAGTAACTCCAGGTTTCTTCCTGAGTTTGTGAACAGGGTACTGTACACCATTGCAGAATTCACTCTTTACTGCTTTAAAGCAGTTGTCAGTTGCTCCGATGGTTTCAGAGAGATCCTGGATCCTGATCCTGTATCCTGGATTTGTTAATTTATTCTTTTAGTAGGAGATTCTTCTGTTTTTCCCTTTTCTCCCTCTGGTGTTTTTCCAGCCGTGCTTCTGTGCAGAGGATTTCCTTTTCTAGCCATCTCCTTTCAGCAAGCTCTCAAACCCTTGCTCTTCCAACTCTGTGTTGGTCACCCGGTGCTCTGAGACTGTTCCACATCATCAGCCCGGTTGGGCTGTGTCTCCGGAGGCCGTCTTGGACTTCGGGTTCTTCCTCTGCTGGTGGCTAGCCTGTACGGCTCGCTCTTCTCCTTCAGCTCGCAGGTTAGGTTCATGACACAGGTTTTCCAGCTCTGCACTGAGGAGCTTCTGAGGATGGGCTTGAAGAGAAGCATTTCCCACTCTGGAGGGTTGAAC